CTCAGGTAGATGGAGGTGATAGTTCAAGTTCTTGAAGCTGAAGACTGGAAGAGGAAAATTAAAACGGGAACCCACATCTCCAATAGGCTTGAGTTCCAGGTTCTGTTCTTTCATTCTCTATTCTCATTGGAATCCCAACTTTCCTTAACAACATCCCTTGTTACAACTGTTTTCCTCCTGTCTTCCCTCCTCTCCACTCTTCCTCCATTCCTGCCTCCTGTATTCTCTCTCTCTCCCTCCTTCCCTCATTCTCACAAACTCCTAATTTAAAATATATATATATTTATATTGATTTCAGAGAGGAAGGGAGAGGGAGAGCAAAATAGAGACATCAATGATAAGAGACAGTTATTGATCAGCTGCCTCCTGCATACCCCCTACGGACATCAAGCTTGCAACCAGGGCATGTGCCCTTGACCAGAATCGATCCCGGGACCCTTCAGTCTGCAGGCTGTCACTATCCACTGAGCCAAACTGGCTAGGGTGCAAACTACTAATTTTTTTGTATTGGTTTGTCTTAGTTATCTCTATACACTAGTGAAGGAAAAAAGATTTTATTTCATCATTTCCTCAGCCTTCAGGGGCATGTGCTACCCTGGATTGTGCATCAGGCCCCTTTATGAGCTGCATTGACACATAAAGGGCAGGTTTGCTGCCCTGACTTTGTAAGTGGCAGCGGCGGAAAGTTACTGGATTCCTAAGGTTACCTCCCGCAGAGCACTGGTCAGCAGTGTCAGCACTGGACAGTCAGGGTTGGTATTAAACAGAAGAGAGCCCTGTCAGGAAGAGCTGCTTATCATACAGGTTAAGACACTTGGTGCAGTGGCTTTCTGATGGAACCGGGTGTAGCACCGTGAGGTAGAGAGCTGAATTTTCTTCCAACTGGAACTAATCGACTCTGTCACTCAGAGGAAGTCACTCACCTCTCTTTGAAAAATGGGAAGTCACCCCTTTTCAACATACTTCTTAAGGCTTTAAAAATATTAAGGGTACTGTAAATAATATGAATGGAGTCAGTAGAACTAACATTTAGAGATGTTTACTTGTGTGCTAGATAGTTTATATATGTGTTTACACACACACACACACACACACACACACACACACACAGGTTTATTCCTGGCAGCCTATGTGACGAGCTAGCTAGTATATTCCCTTCTAGCTAATAAAAGAAACAGCTGAGATTCTGAGAGGTTCAGTTCTAACTCAAGATCACACGCCTAGTAAAATGGTCTGCCCATCCCTCCCAGTAGTGAGAGAACCCAGCTGGACCCACACTTATAGCTGGTATACCTGGCACTCCTATGGCCTCTCAGAGCTTGCCACACTCAGCCCTGGGTGACTGTGCAGAATCTAAGGCAGGAGAGTCCTGGGCTGATTGCTTCGGGCTCTGAATAGCTTCGTTTTGCATTCCAGATACCCCCCAGATTATCCCAGTGTGCTCCAGCAACACCCTCATCCTTTGTATACCTCCTTCTAGGAGAAACACTAGTAGGCTCCAAACTAGAGCATTTTACCCCCTTGGACATCAGTTCTTGGGTGCTAGGCAGCTTCAGCTGCTGGGAACAGAAAGCCCACAAAGCCGCATTCATCCATCCTTTCTAACACTACTCTTCTAATCTTAGAAGTCAGATCTGTTCGTTTTGTTGGGTTTTGACCCCAGCATGTGTTACTCTCTAAAGCTGATCCAGGAATTCACAAACGAGCATGTTCTGTAGCAAGTGAGGTTTGGTGTGATGTGGCTTGGGAGCGGTCAGCAGTTATGTCACTTTTCAGTGACAAGCCCAGGGCCTGCTTTTCAGACTCTTCTGTGTCTAGTAACAGTGTGCCTGGGCTGCCCTTTGTCATGGATCCCATCCCACATGCATGGAAAAAGTTAACGTGAATAAAGCAGCTTTATTAACCACTTGCATCAAAGTTTGGGAGGCAAGCTGAAGAGCCCAGGGAGCATCCCTTGGAGGTCTGTGAATGGAGGTTCTGGTAGCTCTGTTGAGAATACTGATTATTGAGCCAGAGGAGGTTTATTTAATTATCACTTGAAGGGTTTCCAATGGTGTTAACTCCACTTAGATCCGCTCTTACTAATCCCCCCAGTGTACATGGGGCCTGAGATAGCTTTTGCCCTGTGCTGACATTTGATACGTGTGGAAGGAAGTGATGAGCAGGCCAGTGGCTCAGGGCTGGATGTCCCCAAGCAGGAGGACAGTCATATTTCATAGCTGGTCTCTATTCAGGCAGTAACTGGCTCCTTTCCAAAACCCAGCTTACTCCAGCTCTTTGTAGAAAGATAAAGGAATATCAGAAAAGTACTGAGCTATAAGAGGGACTCTTACTAATATAGTTACCAAGATTGTTATTATTATTATGAAGCTCCTTCTGGAGGTGCTTCTCTCGTCCTCATAGGCACAGATGCCTGGGGCAGTGGTTCCTGCTACTGGTGTGTGACTTGGTCCTGGGCTGGCTGGTGACACCAGAGCAGTGTATAGTGCTTATAAAGTACAGCTATGGTGATCAGAGCAGGGCATGGAAATCTATATTCTCTGGTTAGGAAGCACAGCCCTAGGACTGACTGCCTTATATAAATTTTCAATTGCTGGTAAACCAGTAGATTACAGTTGCCTTCCATTTTTTTTTTTTAGAAGTCCAGTGTTTTGGCCCCTTCACATAATTTTCTGACTCAGATGGCCTTTCCATCATACCGATATAATACAACTTCCTGTTTCCCACCCTTCACTCATTCATTTGACCATGACCTAACAGCTGGCAAGGATGGGCTGCAGGAACTAAGGTAAAATGATCAAAAGACACATAGTTCCAAGACTAAGAGAGTCTTTGGTCTGATCAGGAGACAATTGAACAATAAGCCAGTTATTATAGAGCAATATCATTGTGTGAGCTAAATTGCAGTGGTGGCAGGTGGAATTTGCTGGAAAGTCAGGTAACATGTCCTAGGAGAAAAACCCATGGACTATAGGCTGAAAGGAGACAATGGTGGTTGGATGTCAGGTAAACAAATGAGAAAGCAGAGAGAACATCTTTGCAAAGGCTCAGTGGCCCCAGAGCCTGATATGAGACAAGAACTACACATGTCTTAGTTCTGCCATTGTATAAAATATGAGGTAGTACATGATATAAAGAAGGGTGGTCATACTGACCACTCCCAGATCATGAAGAGCTTGTAATCATGGGTGCTGGGAGTTTGTATTTGACCTTATTACTGCATCTCCTCGCCACATGTATAGGTTCTTTCTATGTGCCTCATTGATCAGTATCTTTTTAAAATCCTCTCCCCTGACAATATGGCATAATAAAATTTCCTATCCTCATGCAATACCTTGGAAGCAGGAGAAACTTCATTTCATGCCACTTTCCTCTTGGATCCCCAAGCTCCTTCCACACTGATCTTTTTTAGGTTTTCAAAGAAACCAAACGCACCCCTACCTCAGGGCTCTGCATACACTGTTCCCTCTGTCTGTAGTTCCCTATCTTCACCCCATCTAAAGCGATCTTCCCAAAAAGGCCTTCCAGCCGCTAGTTAAATAGACAAGCTCCACTCCCTATATTTTGCAGAACTTAATACATTTTTACTTGTTTTATTTATTTTTCTTTTTTTTTTTTATCGCCAGATTGTCCCATAAGTTCCATAAATGCTATGGACCTGCGTGACTCATTCACAAGGGCACCTTTCCCACCTATTTAATAATACATATTAAATAACGATTTGCTGAATGAGTGGGTGGACGAAGTCCATAAGTTTAAATCTTAACAAAACCTAAACTACTATTCGTTTTTCATACTCTGGTGCAGTCAACCTAAGATTTCTCTTCTCCCCCATGAACCTAAGGAAGCTTTATCCATCCCTCATAATGCAGTCTAAGCTCCATTCATTTAACAAAATCTGCAGTCTCTAAAGCTGATACTGATTTGCTTATCTCCTGACTTATATGTAAAATGCATATTTATATTTTGTGAATAATCTTGGAATCTACATGTATTGTATCCAGTTGATCATTCTCCACACTTCTTTTAAGTTGTGATTTGTAAAGACTTTTCTCAGTTAGAAAAGCAATCTATACTAATAAAAGAGAAAGATGCAAATTGGCTGTACCTTTGCAATGCCCACCAGCCAATCAGGAGCGAGTATGCAAATTAACCCAACAAAGATGGTGGGTTAATTTGCATACACAGGCACCCAGTGGCTGGGGGTAGGAGGCTTGTGTCGTTTCCAAGGCAACGGTGCAAGCTTTTCACACCCCCCCAGGCGCTCATGGCTGTGCCAGCAGCCAGGGTAAGGAATGCCCATTCTGCACAAATTTTCATGCATTAGGCATCTAGTTTTTAATAATAAAAGCAATAAAGAAATATATTTTAGATGTGGGAGGTACTTAGTATAATGAAACAAATATGAAGTCTACATAATATTTTTCAGCCTGAGCTAAATACTACAGAAGTTTTGTCTTCTTTTTTATCAAGAAGTTTTTTTTATACATTCCACAACTTAGTGTGCACATGTGCATACCTCTGTAAGTATCCTGAATTTTAAATGCAACATGACTACTATGTCATTGTAAAGACTTTTAAAGACATGGTATGCTGGATCCAAAGTTCTACTTTTGAGAATCATGTGGAACATCAGCAAAAATACCAGACTGCGTGTTAGGCACTGAAGTATATGTTATACCACTTTAAATATTGAATGCTCAATGAAGTAGAAACATAATAAAAGAGTGTCTTTCCTCAAGTAGCTACATTTCTGATTTGTTATGGTAGGTAGAAGCAAGAGGTGAAACTCCAGAATAATTTGTATTAGAACCAAATTTGAAAGACTGGATCCCCAACCAGTACCCCCAGTTCAAATACTGAATGCATTGAGAGCGCAGATTTCATCAGTAAATGTGTTTTCACTAGACTTCCAAAGCAAGGAGTTGGAAAGCCTTGGCAGACCACTCTTCCCTGAAATCTTGACTGTGAGAATGACTGCTGTTCTCTTTTTCTTCTAGAGTGACCGCCTTCTTATCAAGGGAGGCAGAATCGTCAACGATGATCAGTCCTTTTATGCTGATATTTACATGGAAGATGGCCTCATCAAGTATGTATCTAGAACCCTTCTCTTTATCTTTTTGTACTTAACCCCTTCTTCAGAAAGAAGCTTTCTACTTCTTTGCTTATTCAACTAGTGGTTCTCTGGGTTTCATGTCTTCTTCTCCTTAAAATTAAATCTTTATTTTCACCCCTCAGCCTGGATGCATATGATTCTTCAAAAGTGGGAGCTAGCCTTAGTTCACTTGGATTACATGAATAAAGTGAAAAACCTGAGTTTGATCAATCCACTGAGGTTGAGGGTACTTTGGGCCAGCTGTGTGGATGGGCGTTCTATGCGTCTTGGAGAAGTGGAAGATGTCACCACTGACCTTAAGGATACTGAAAAGTGTGCACAAATTTTAACACCCTAAAATAGGTCCCCAAGGAGTTCAGATGAGGATAAGTCATTTAGAAGTGTCCAGAGGAAGGTTTTGGGGTGGAGAGGTCATTTAAACTGAACCTTGACTTAGGTAAGAGCACAGATAGGACATATATTCCAGGTGAGATTTCCAAATAGATACTTTAGGAATGTATAATTCCTTAGCAAAATGGTTTGCTATTGGATGCCTGTAAGCAGCACAGCCAGGTAACCTTTATGTGCAGGTTCCTTACCCAGTGACCTTTAAGGAAGGGTTTGATAGACACATAGCCTTTCATCATAGAAGGCACGGCACATTCCCACAGGGATGCAATATTATATAACACTGGCACATTCAACTCATCTTACTAGCCATTCCTGACCTCGTTCCGCTTTGTATTTATGTTATTCAACTTTATTGACTAGTTTAATATTCTGGTTATAGGAGACCTCTTCCTTGTCTTAAAAAAGTTGGCTTAGATATAAATTTTTTAGAGGACATTCTTTATCAGAACCTCAATCTAAGCTAGCTTCCCCTTCTATATAAAACACAGTATTTTATAAAACATAGCAATCCTGACACTTTTAGGCCCCCTTGAGAGCAAGGACCATATCTTGTTCATCTTCATATTCCCTAGTATTTAGCACATTGAGCACTTAGCACTTTTATAAGAGCTACCTTTTATTGAGTATATAGTATGCCAGACACTGTTAAATATTTTTACACTTCACCTTATTTGATCTGCCAAAAATCCTATGAAGTACTATTATTACGCTTGTTTCAAATGAGAAAGAACATAGAAAGTAAATAATTTGCTAAAGATCGATATATTAATCAGTACCTTGAATGAATGAACAATGCTAGGTTTGGTATTTAGTTGCCTTGCCAATTTCCATAAATAATTTTTCACAGTAGAAGTAGGAAAAAATGGAAATAATAGGCAAGCTAACCAATATAAAACAATTTTGTCAAAACATCAGTCACAATTGATTTTATATTTTTATTGCTGAATATTATTTTATATAGTCAGCTCTCTTGGAGGTAGCAAATTCCCTCACTTAGTGATTCAGAAATAGAAAAAATAAGTATTACCGAATGCTTCTTTCTTATTTCAGAATTTATGACAGTCATTAGTAATTGATCCCAGAACTTTCCACAGTTGAGTCTTAAATGCAAGTTCAATCCATCTTCACACACTTATTCAGTCATCTATTATATTACCAATCCATCTTCACACACTTAGTCATCTATTATCAAAATTGAGTATGCAAAATTAATTCCTTTTGGCATCTTTATTAGATTGGACTAGAGACCACTTAACAAGGATATTATAGAAGGAATTTAACCATCAGATGTGTGGGTTGGTGGTGGAGACAAGGTTGGATAAACATGATCTCCATCCAATCCTGACAATGTTCCTAACAGAATATAGAAACAGAAATACAGGAGGTCCCCAAAGATGGTTTGACTTATGATTTTTTTTTATATTACAATGGTTTGAAAGTATACTCCATTATAAATCATACTTCAAGTTTTGAATTTTGATCTTTTCCTAGGCTAGTGATAAATGGTACAATACTCTCTTATAATGCTAGGCAGCTACAGCAAGGTAGTTTTGCCCAAGTTTAGGCTAATCTAAATGTTCTTGACTTGACCAAGCTATAATGTTTGGTAGGTTAGGTACATTAAGTGCCTTTTCAACTTACGATATTTTGTGGTATATTGGGACATATAATCCCACTGTAAGTCTGGGAGCATCTATTATTTCCTCCAACTGTTTCATAGTTGTTTGCCTGTGAATATTGATAGAGTGCTTGCTATGTGCAAGGCAGTTGTCTTAGTCACTGGACATATGCTATGTCACATGCCTTTGGGATCCAAGTCATCTCTTCCCCTGGGAACCTTACATAATTTCAGGGGAACTAAATAATGTGTGTGTGTGTGTGTGTGTGTGTGTGTGTGTGCGCGCGCCCGCATGCACACGCGTGCATGCACACACAAATAACAGATTTAACTTTACCAGATAATATGAACATCAAATATTAAATTAGTAGAATTATGAGGTCCAGAGGGAGAGGACTGGTTAATAAATGGGAGTAGGATGGTTATTAATCATTGTAGCTGGTATCTATTGACTTCTTATGTACTTAACAGTGTCCTTTAAGCTTAACACAAAAACATCTAATCTCCACAACAAGCATTTTTATTACATTTTACAGATGAAGAAATTAAGTATCTTGGCCAAGGTCATAACACTAGTAACTGGCAAAGCTAAGATTGTGCTTCTAGCTACCCCAATTCCAGAGCTGATTTATACTTAATTCCTAGACCTGGCTGTTAGTAGAAACTGGACAGGAATTAACATAACCTTGGTTAGGTCAGTGCAGGAAAAGAGGAAGGCATTTGTGTTTTGGACTTGGTGTTGTACTAATTGTCATAGTGATACAAACGCACGTGTATCCACACAGAGATTGGACAGCTCTTCATGCCCTTGGCTCTCGTTTTCAACAAGGGAAAATCAGCAAGGGAGGAAAGACGGGAACACAGCTGGCCAGTCGCTGGACTAGAATGGGGTTCCAATCAGAGGCTGCATTTTTCCACAGTGTGTTTTGAATTGTGGCGGCTCTGGAATGGCCCCGTGGTGATGTGGTGAAGTTGAACTCTTAGAGATGTCAGAAACACTTGACCTGAGTTGCAGAACTAAGATTTTGGCAGGCCACTAGTGGACTTCTGGTGCCCCAAAGAGGTTTCCTTCTTGGCTGGCTATGAACAAAGGGGGAGCATTCATGCTACTGGCAGTGGGGTTCCTGGATCCCCCAAGGTAGGAGGCATTTAATGACAATGTAGGAGCTTACGAATCAGAGTCCTACCTGCAGTCCACATTGGACAGGTTGAATTGGCCTTTTAAAGGGTGTGAAGTCACAAATAATTCGAGCAGTGTGAGATGAAGTATGAGGAGTATGAGGTGGCATTGTTCCAGGGCTAGTTGTATTTGTCCCTGGCCTGGTGGAATGTGCCTTGGGCACACTCACCAGCTTCTTCTCCGCCCCAGTCCCCCTCTTGTCCTCTCTGGGGGGCTCTAGCTTCCTGGGAGAAGGTGTGTTTGGTTGAGATTGTCATAATCATCTTCCTTGGCAGCTGCATCTTTGACTTCCTCCCTGTGAATTTGCCTTTGTATGTGACTGATGGATACATGATCACGGAAGGGTAGGCTTAGGAGCGAAGACTGGAGTGCCTAAGGACCTCTTTTGTTAGGAGCCCAAGTGAACCCCCTTAGAGGATAGCTAAGTGCACATGCCTGTTCTTTAAATGATTCATTACCCCATGCAATCTCTCCTAAAATATGTTTTTCATACCCTACGTGCTAGATACTCTCAGATTCCTGGGGTTACAGTACTAAACCGGGACACATGTTTCCCCAAACAGCACATTGGATTGTTTGTGTCTGTAAAGATGGTTTTCTGTATGTATACCTATCTTTACTTGTTTCTAGATCGCTGAACTTGTGAATCTACTTTGATCAATGTGTTCCGATGTTTAAAACGTTACAATACTGTGTCTGTCTTTGAAATCACTCTTTTCAACTGCCAATTGTTTCACTGTCTTGCCAGGCAAATTGGAGATAATCTGATTGTCCCTGGAGGGGTGAAGACCATCGAGGCCAATGGGAAGATGGTGATCCCTGGCGGCATTGATGTCCACACTCACTTCCAGATGCCCTACAAGGGGATGACCACAGTGGATGACTTCTTCCAAGGGACAAAGGCTGCCTTAGCTGGCGGCACCACCATGATCAGTAAGTTTCCCCAAATTACATGCTCTTGGTCCAAGTGTTAGGCGTGTGTTAACCACTGTGCTCACTGATAAGTTGTTCACGTCCCTTAAGACAGTTGGTAGACTTTCTGCCTGATGGGGACTGATAGAAGCAGGTTGGAGTGAGGACATTGGCAGCTCAGCGCCACTGCATGGAGGAGATGCAGGAGGATCATGACAATGAGCTCATCCATCCCCTCCTGTCTTCCTTAGCATTAGGGGTGGTTGTGCCGGCGATGGAGAATCAGAAATGACCATCTCTGGGCCTGTCACTGGGACAAGCAGACTGAAAAAGTTATGGATGGGGGAGGGGGAGAAAGTTATTTCAAAACTTCCCATTTGGGTCTCAGGCATGAGGGGCAGAGAGCATAGCAGAGAGTTTAGTGTTATCTGGACTGAGCTATTTGTTGACCAGTTCATATTTTTAAAATTGGGCAAGCTACGGTATGTCTGTGGTTTCCTTTTTTGTTTTTTCTTCTTCTTTATTTTCTGGTAACTATTATAATTCCAAGGAAACCTAGGGAGTTGCATGCCATTGGATTACTGGACAGAAAGTGGTTCAGGGCAGTCTTTCCTGTCCTGAGCGAATCCCAATGGCCTCGGTCCCCTCTCAGGCCCCATTCCAAACTTGATCAGCAAGATCGCTGTTTATTGTAACACCTTATACATCCATCCATCCACAAACACAGCACAGCCTAAACCTTAGAATCATTCACTTCCTTTTGCTTCCTTTTGATGAGAGCCCTAGCAGGCTTTAGCTTCAGCTTCAGCTAGCTGGGTGTGGAAACCCAGGACAATTGCATCGAGGCCATAAAAGGTGCAATTCCAGCCAAAGCGGGGAAGCCAGCTGACTTCTCAGCAGCCGCCTGCCCACGGAGGCCCTGGTGTGTGTCCAGACATCAGTAATGTAGCTGCACGCATCTGCTTTCCGATAAGTGCACTTAGGCTGCTTGCGATAGAGGCCTGAGGAAATGAGGGATCTTGGCTTGGCTCTCTGCCATCTGGGCAAGGAGTTGAGTTGTCAGCACTCTGGAGATGTGTGTTTTGCTCAGTCTTCTGTAAGAGGGAAGGAGTAGGAGGAAAGTCAGACTTCCAGGTGACAAGGGAGAAAAGTATACAAAGAACCACACAAGTGTTCGTGTCCTTCGTAGACAATTAAAGAACCCAGATGTGAAAAAGAAAATAAGGAAAGACAACCCATAAGCCCCACATCAATGTTTCAGTTGGCTATATATATTTTTTCCTCGTTAACAAAAATAGGATCATAATAGACACACTGTGTTTTCGCCTCCTATTTTCACAAAATGAAATGTCACGGATGCCTTTCTATTCATTCATGTTTATTCTACCACAACATGTAGAACAACCTCTGTTTTATGAAGGATCACAATTTATGTATTTACCCAAACTGCCCTATTGTTAGACATTCTATTGTTTCTAGTTTTTCACTTACATAAATATGCAATAATTTAGACTGACAGACATCTTTAGAACCCAGATTGTGCAGGCAACATAGTTTAATTCCGTGGGAATAATATTTGAGTTAAGATATGAGAAAAATGCCAAGATTTTTGGCATCTGTTTTATAATTGTTTAAAAGGAAAACTCTGAGGGTGTCACTTTTGCCTTATCCTCACCAACTGTAAATATTATTTTGAAAAATATCGTTTAGGTTGCAGGTTCTGCATGAGTGGATTTGGGCCTCAAGGAAACCAGATTCTCGATGAAGAACTTGCATAGAAATAAGATCTGTGGGCCTAGTGTCAGGCTCCTTCAGAGGACAGGGGCTCTCTGTCTGGCAGTGAGCATGGGGGTATCACTCTTCTGGGCCCTGACATAACTCTAAAACCCTCCCTCCACCCTTAGGGGGGAGTTGGACTTTTATCTGCTCTGATGACTCCCTACAGTACTGCTAATAACGGCATATAGTATGCATATATTGATAGCAAACATTAGTTGAGCACTTACTATGTGCCAGGCATTAGGCAAAGCACTTTGGTGCGTTTTCCCTCTTCATCTTATAACAAACTTCGAAGGAAGGCACTATGACATCCTGTCTCCCACCCCACCTGGGACCCATTTCAGGGATGAGAAAAACGAGGTCTGGAGAAGCTAGTAATCTGTACAAGGTTCTCATAGTTACGTGACAGTTAAGCCATCAGCCACCCTTTCCAAAGTCAATTCCATGCTCAGGAAATAGAAACCCTGCAGCCGTGGCTACGCAAGCAGGACCAGGCCTGCACACAGGGGAACAGAGGCTGTGTCAGCGAGTCACCCACCTGGGGTCTCTGTCCTTCAGTCGACCACGTGGTGCCCGAACCCGAGTCCAGCCTGACGGAGGCTTATGAGAAGTGGCGGGAGTGGGCCGATGGGAAGAGCTGCTGTGACTATGCCTTGCACGTGGATATCACCCACTGGAACGACAGCGTGAAGCAGGAGGTGCAGAGCCTCATCAAAGACAAAGGTGAGCCCGAGCGTGCCTTCCTCCCTCCCCCCACGCCCCTCTTCCACACAGCATCCACTCATTTGAGTCCCCTCCCCCAGCTTGGAGCCAGGAACCTCAAGCACACGTGCTGGGAGAAAGGGGCACTGCTGCGTCTTTATTTAGTCTGTCATTCTGACTCCTTGCAGGGTCCCCATGAGATGGGAGTTATTATCCTCACGTGGCAGATGGAGACCCTGAGGCTCAGAAGGAGTAGCAAGCAGTAAATCTCTCCACAGTCTAGGCTCTTCCCCTACATGCAGTGCTGCCCATTTGACAGAGGCAGAAACTGAGGCTAGGAGAGGTTAACTTCATATACAAGGTCACACACCGACTGGATATGAGATTAGGAATTTTTAAGCTTCATTATTTTTACTCCAAAGGTCGAACTCGTCAAACTCATTACTATTATATATTTACAGCATCCTCAGAAAAGAGAAGATATTTCTGGGAGCAAAAATGTGTTTGAATTCAGGCAAGGAGCTTAGGGCATGAAGCATGTCCTTGTGTGTGTGTGTTTGGGGGGGGAGAGATGGAAAGGGGGTTACTCTCAGTGAGTACATGGTTTAGGTTCCCATTGTCTTCTTAGACTCTTCTACTTCTTCCTACATTTGGATGGCCAGATTTTTCACACACATGCACACACACCCCTTTCTCCCCATACAGACACGTGATGTGCTGGCATCTAAGGCTGCCTGGGAGATGTAGGGAAGTATAAGGAATGGCCTCTGCCAAGCCACTGAGGCAGAAGGAAGCAGGCCAGTGAAGAGCATCAGAGTAGATGCCATGAGATACAGACTGACCAGATGCGCAGTCTTGAGGCAAAGGCCAGGAGCGTGTTCTGGGATGGAGGGGAGAGGATGACCTCTCAGAAGATGAGCTTTCCTTTCCATTCTCCTCCTTTACCCCACAAGCTCTGTTCCCATCCTTCCCGATCCAGAATGAGAGGTTAACCCTCTCCCTCCTTCCTTGTGTCTCCTTTCACCTGGGCTTCGGAACAGCTTTAACACCCACTTCCTTCCAGAGGGCCCGGTCATTCCACAGATGACACAGAGGCTGTGGGCAGGGTGGTGTTGGGAAGAACTGCCCTCAGTGGAACCACTCCGGGGAGGGAAGTTCTCAGATTGCAGCCACTTTTGGCCTGGAACACTGCGGGCTGAGGCGGCCCTGGTGGTTGGCGATCAAAATTATCCTCCCTTTTTCAAAAGGACTCTCTGATCCTCAGTCCCACCTATTTCTGTACATTACTGTATTAGTAGTTTATTTGAGGTAAAAAACTAAATGGATCATTTTCTCAATACTCTCACTGCTTAGATATTTAAACTCAAGGTGACGCTTGACTTCCGCCCAGTAGCTCTGTTGGTTCCCCAAGGACAGGATCTCTCAGATTCACTCCTGCAGAGGTCATGTGCAGGGCAGGCACTCCTTAAACAGGGAAATAAACCAACCTCAGGAGATCCGTTCATGGAGACCAAGCATGAGTCAGCGTTAGTGAGTACTAGGAGCTAGGCATGTATCTCATTGAATGTTTCCCAGACTTAAAAATTGTAAAATGGAAAAATAACAAGGGGTATTGTTATTTTTCCATTTTACAGATGAGGAAGCTGAGGCTCAAGAAGTCAGATATTCCAAATGAACTGAATTAGTATGTGGTGCAACCTCCAGTGTGTGAACACTACCAGTGTGCTACAGTGATTCTCAATTTTATATATACAGTAGAGGCCCAGTGCATGAAATTCGTGCAAGGGGCTTGGCCTCTCAGCATTGGCCAGCCCTCACAGCCCTTTGCAGCCTCAGCTGGCCCTCCCTGCCTTGGCTTCATCTGGAAGGTTGTCCAGATGGTTCTGCTGTTCAACGTAATTAGCATATAAGCTCTTTATTATATAGGATCTGCATCAAACTAAAACAAAGCTTATTGACCCTGTGGGCTGGGGAGTGCTAGTTGTGGGCAAGAAAGAAGTGCAGAAGAGGAGACCATCTCTATAACATTACACAGGAATTGTTGCTTTTCTGGGGAGAGGAGGGAATAGAAAAATGCTCTTGGAGAACGGGAAGCATCACTTTGCATTGAACTGGAGCCTGTAATGGACTCGGGCCCCGTGGGCCATAGACGTGGGAAAGAAGGATGGAGAGTGGTTGTGATAACGCTGTCTTCTTCCTGTTCCCTGCCCTCCCTCTCTTGCAGGAGTCAACTCCTTCATGGTTTACATGGCCTATAAGGATCTGTACCAGGTGTCCAACACAGAGGTAATGACCCATTGCTGCGTGGCGTGGGGTATCTGGATGGGTTTCCCATTGTTGCTGATGACCTTGGCTACTTCCACATGAGTCACTGTGGGCACCACGGGAGACGGCTGGGCCAGAGTGCTTCTTGCAGACCATACTCCATCTTAAATCAGGTAACGGGCAGGGTGCCAGAGCAAGGCAGACAGGGAGCTAGAAGTTCCACTGGCAGCAGCTTTCTCAAGAGGACAAGAGGAAGGCCCTGCCTCCATCTCCATCTACCAAGCAAATGCAAACTCCTTATGAGCTCAGGGAACAGGCGAGGTGCTCAGCCTTGAAGGATTAAGGAGGGCCGCCTGCCATTTGGGGGAATTGTCCCAGCTTGCCTCTGACTCTGTCTTTAGGAAATTAGTGAGATGTGTTTTAGACAAATCTAAAGTCTTCACTCCCAGCTTTCCTGATTGGAAGGTGAAGGGAGGTCTGTGTTGAGAGGTTGAGAGAGAGGGGTTTCAGCTCCTGCATTAGCTTCTGGCTGGGCTGTGGTGGTCTTGGGAGCTCAGGGTGAGAAGGATTCTGAAGCTCCATCTCAGCTCAATGGGAAATAATTCCCTAAAAATGTGTGCTGAGGGGCATTAGAGTGGTCGGCAGCATTGTTATGTGTTCACCCTGGCTGCTTAGGCAACACAGTAGGTTCTGTATATAGACAGTCTTCTGGAATTTCTTCGGAGTTGCACCCCTCTTGGGCCGGGCATGTTTTAGTCTGTATCTCTGCCCCAGGCACTTACTGCCTCTGGTTTATCCCCTCTGGCTCTCATAACCAGGCCTCAAGCACCAGTGGCCTGTGAAAGTGACAGAGACTCATTTCCATTTCAGCTCTATGAGATCTTCACCTGCCTGGGCGAGCTGGGAGCCATCGCTCAGGTCCACGCTGAGAATGGGGACATCATTGCCCAGGTAAGGGGGTGCGGCCCCCTGGAGGGCGTTCTCGGCATGGGCTTCACTCTGCATCCCCTCCGTTTCCTCTTTGCTTCCCTGATGCTTGAGCTCTCACTGTGTGGAAGGCACCATCGTAAGCGCTCCATTAAAATTCTGCCCTAAAGGACCTCATGTCCAGGGCGATGAACAAAGGAAATGTGGACAAGTGAGGGAGCAGGTGCCAGCTGTTGGATAACAGAGAAAGATCTGGTCGCTCTGGAGAATCCAGAAAGGCTTCCCAGAAGAGGAGGTTTTCCAAACAGGCCATGTATTGGGAGAGTATTGCTGCTTCTCTTTTGAAAATGAGTCCAAGCTACGTGGCATTCTGTGTCCTAAAGAAAATCCCTAAGGCAGCGCTTCTCAGAAGCCAGAAATCTGATCCAGAACTGCGGTACTCGCGGCCTTAGATGATAAAGAATTTAAGTCTCTTAGGGCTCACGTGTCCCATTGGTTTCCTAGAAATCATGCTGAGAAACCTGTGAGTGATGGAAGTGAGGGTCCCAAGGTCCAAAGTGATCATTGGTGAGAAGCAGAAAGCACTTCCCTCGCATCTCCAGGGCCGCTTAATGGGCTGGATGCACAGATGTGCCGTGGCCAGAGTTTTATTTATTCCAAGATTGGCCTCAGCCAGACGGAGGCTGCCAGAAGAGAGTGTGAGCTCTCTGAGTCCGTGCGATACGACGAATAGCAAGAAGCCATTATTCATCCTTTCAGAGAGTATTTCCTGAGCATTCCGTGCCAGGCACCAGGCTACACAGGGGTGAGCCAAAACAGATGTCCTCCGCAGCTCGGAAGTGCGTGGGCTCTGCCTTCATGTCAGAAGCTGTCCCAGACGTGGTGAATGTGGTGGGCAGGGGTGTGGGAACAGTGCTGGGGCCCAGTCTAGCTTAGACTCGTCGGCTTCTGATAGCAGGCGCCACTTGGTGAGCACTTCCTACACCGTGTGCCAGGCTCTTATACATGGTCTCCTAGGTTCTCATTGAATCTTCACCCAGCCTTTAAAGTTGACTGCCATCCTCCCCATTCTGTGGATGAGAACATTGAGGCCCAGAAGGATTACGTCACTGGCCCAACGATCACAGCAATGGACTGGGAGACCAGAATCTCAGTCCCTTACATGATGGGCCTCAGTGGGCGTCTCACCCAGAGCGGTACATCTGGACCCCTTGCCCCACCGGTCCAGCTGTTGGAGTGTTGTCTCCCTCCCTAGCGGGGGAGGTGAGCTAAGTGTGCACTCTCCTCTTGCTTATGACCCAGAGGTTAATTAGTCAGGCCCCTGACAGCCTTCTCCTACATCCTCCACACACCCGGAGCTAATGAAACCGTTTTCCAAGGAAGGTCCAAATGCCTGCTCCCAGGGGAGGTGTCTGGTGCTATTAGAGCCATCACTGCTCCCCCTTCTCCAAGTTTTCAGTGCAGCTGCCAGGGGTCCCTGCCCCAGAAACCAAACTCCCCGCTTCTTCATTCTAGAGCCTGGGCAGACAAACCCACTCCGACTCAAAGCCCCTTCTCCCACTTCCTCTGTGGCTCCGTGCACAGAAGTGTCTCTGCTCCCTCCCCTCCCCCGTCCTTCCCACCTTGGGAAGATCTGGTCTGAGTTAGGAAGAGAATAAGGGCATTCATCCATTTGGATGAGTTTCTTGTGCGTGTTTATGAAATTCAGCCTGAGCTAAAAGATTTGATCACATTATCTAAATGAAGCAGCTGCTGTCCTTAGAGTCCCTGGCTGCGCTTTATGCCAAAGTGACTAAGGAAGAAGCAATCTTTCCCTACAGGTCCCAGCAAGGGGTATTTTCCAAAGGACAGTCTGAGAACACAGCATCCTTGGCTGCGCAGCCAACAGATATTTATTGGGCACCTATTATGGTAAAGCACTGGAGAGGGAAAATGAAAAAGACAGCGTCTCTTTCCTCCTGGAGCAGACCAAAACTGCCATGACCCAAACCATGTGCTTACCCCAGTGATCAGTGTGTCAAAGTGCCATTGCTCCCCACCCATGCCAGGTGGCACCAATGGCTTTTCACATGCCATTCTTCTTCTTCTTCTTATTATTATTAATTGAATTTTTTAAGAGAGAGAGAAGAAGAAACATTAATTTATTGTTTCACTTATTTATGCATTGATTTGTATGTACTTGTATGTTGATTCTTATATGCGCTCTGACTGGGGATCAAACCTGCAACCTTGGTATATTGGAATGATGCTCTAATCACTGAAATACCCATCCAGGGCCTTTTACATGCCATTCATATATATATCACACACATACAGATACATATTTCAAAAGGGAAGGGAGAGGGAGAGAGAGTAGAAACGTCAATGATGAGATAGAATCATCAATGGGCTACTTCCTGCATACCCCCTACTAGAGACCCAGCCCACAACGCTGGCATGTGCCATAAACAGGAATTGAATTGTGACCTCCTGGTTCCTCGGTTGATGCTCAATTACTGAGCCATACCGGCCAAGCTTACATGCCATTCTTAAATCTTCCAGCTGTAGAGCAACCTGGCTTTGGGCACAGACTTTCCAGCAGGAGCAGCACTTTAGAATCACCTCTAAAGCTTGGAGACCGATTTCTAGATTCTCCCAGGTCTCTAGAGTCAGATTGAGAAGGTCAGAAGTGGGTTCAGACAAGCATGTTTGAAAGAGTTCCCCTAGTGACCTTCACCTGGGTGTTGTCCTAGAACCCTTAAACAAGGTAACAGCGAGAGTGCTCTAACAGATAGAAGAGTTTTTCACAGGAGACCTTAATCCTTGTGTGTGTTCCAAAGGCAATTCAAAGTGGAAACTCACCAGAGTTTGGAAGAAGTTTTGTTCAGTCCAAGTTTTGATGAATTAAATAGTAAGAATGAAATGGAGGTACATTGCTGGAGCAATCAGCCTCTGACCATTTTTCAAACACTGTAGAACTGGGGACAGCGGCCATTTTACTTGTCATGGTTGCTTTTAGTAGCATCTTCCTTTCTATTCTTCTTTTAAAAATTACTATAAAAAATAAACAAATATCAACAACAAAATAGTTCTTTTCCAGCTAGAAGGAATTCCTTCTTCTAACACCTCACAGTTCTAGTTCACTCTCTCCATATCTCTCATCTCACCAGTGCACAGGCTTATAGGAACTGGCCTTCGTACTTGGAGAGTGAATGGCAGCAAAATTGTAGAGATGGTGGTTTAGGATTTGTGCCAGTGCCAGTTAGCCACGCATGTGTTCACTGTCGAGCCATCTGCCTCTTCCAGAAAGCTGGCCAGAAGCCTGAGGAATTTAGCCATTAGCCACAAGAGATAGACAGTCCCGCCTCCTCCAAGACCTAATTAATTAGAATTTGACCAATAGATGAACTCAGGTAATAGTGGTTAGAGGTAGTAGTTTGTCTGGTTAAATTCTAATCCATTCATGTAAGTCATAAAAGTAAAGCTTTGAAGAGCCTGATGAGCTTAATAAAATGCAGGTTCCTAGAATTTAACCTCAGGTATTCAGATCTGGTAGACTTGAATAGGGCCAGACTTCTGCATCTCCACAAACAACCCAGCTGATTCCGATGTAGGTGGTGGGTTGACTAGACTGGGAAATGGCGGGTCCGAGCTGTAAGGGCCATCAAGTCAGGGGCCTTGTTGCCTTAATTCAAGTAAGTACCTAACCTAGAGCCTAGCATAAAGCAGATACTCAGTACTTTTTGTTGAATGAATAGGTTTTAAAATGCATAAATAAATTTTAAAAAATGAGTTAAGGGAGTGTCTTACAGAGGTTTGCATCTGAAAGAAATGAAGTATAAGTGATCGTGTGAGTTTTGAAGCACAATGTAGAAAAAGTGGTAACTTTTAACAAATTGTTTTTCTTATATTAAAAGCAAGCCACTCTCAAATGTGGTGGGGGGTTTTTTCTCCTTTTAATTAAGGCCCTTTCCTATTTTGCAATTTCTCCCATAGAGTTGATGAATTTGTTCAACATACCTATTTTATTCTTTCCCCCCTTGAATCCATCTTCAGCATAACTCCTCCAAATCTCAGTTGAGCCCATCTAAAAGCTGCCCTCTATGTCTTAGGAAATAGAGTTAGGAGTTACTGTATAGTGCTTTATGTGCTTTAAAGTTTTAGTTTAAATATTGATGTATTACAAGAAATTGCAATAGTACCATTTTTGGTTGGTCTGAATGATTCCAGGCTTTGAAATAAATCTTGACTAAGTGATGTCATAAGTTTTAAAAACTAAAAACTGCCCTCTATTTTTTTTCTCATAGGAGCAAGCCCGGATGTTGGAGATGGGGATAACTGGCCCAGAAGGCCATGTGCTGAGCAGACCAGAGGAGGTAAGTTGCAGGGGTTGGGGGAAGGGGGAGGGGAGAAGAGAGAGAAGCAATAGCAGGAGGGGCTTTCTTCTTTTGCCAGCATCTTCCCAGGGACTCCCATCACCATGGTGCCAATCCTAGCAGCCTCCTGGATGGCCTGTCAGTCATTTTACAGAGGCAGTGCTAGAGTTCAGTCTGCCTCCCCTAGGCACAGGCACACACAATGTGTGAGCAAACACAGTAAGAGGCAGCGCAGCTCTATCAGTACCAGACAGAAGACTGGAACATTTCTTCCAAAGACCACTTTGACTGAGCCAACTCAATGGCCCCTGAGAAAAGGAGAAAGGAATGCTTGCTTCTGACCCCTAATCTCTCTCAAGATAACACCCGTTGGAGGTATTCCGCAGTTATTCAGTAGGAGTGGAAAATTTCCAAATCCTTTCTTAATCAATGTGAATTCCAGAGACATTTCTACTTATTCCCGTGTCCCACATTACAGTTTGAGACCTGCTAGATACTGGCCTTATGGATAGGAGGCAGAATAGGTTTTAACAGGCAGTATGTCAGTCGATTTGTATAAGGGGTTGATTGTGTCTAGATGTGGAAGTTTCCCCGCATGTAAAATGAATTCTGATTTAGAGTCTGTGCTTAGCAGCTGAAGAGCGAATGAAAGGTAAGTGGGGGCTGATTCCATGCCTCTGGGAGGTCAGCAAGCTCAGCTGCCAGCATAGGGCACAGTTGGAAATTGGCTGCCCACTTGGCTGAGGGCATGTTGGCTTTGGGGGACTACCTGGGTCTGACACAGGGAGCAAATTCAAGGTCCTCCATGTCAGCAAAGTGAACCGTGTTCCTGATCTGTCATTCAAGTCCCACACTTGGTAGAAGAAGGAGTCAGAATCAGAACCAGAAATGATTACCTGCTCATTTCCCATCTCTTCCAGGATCTTTAAAAAAATTAAATTGTAACATATATAGAGAAGAGTGTTCCTTTCATAAAAGTGCAAGGAATTTTTGCAAACTGAATACACCTATGTAAGTAGCATCAGAACATCATCAGCACCCCAGACACTCCTTTGTCTCGTGATACTTTTGTTACAAGTTGAAATAATTTATAATTTTGTCTGTTGGAGGTGTAAATTAGTGGCATCACTGTGGACCACAGTAAAGAGGACCCTCAAAATAGAACTATCGACAATTCCTCTTCTGGGTATTTATCTGAAATCAATGAAAACACTAATTCAAAATGATACCTGCACCCCCATGTTTATTACAGCAATATTTACAAGATATGGAAAGAACCTCACTGCTCATGGATGGATGGATAAATGAGTAAAATGTGGTACACACATACACACACACACACACAAACACAGGAATATTATTCAGCCATAAAAAAGAATAAAATTCCACCATTTGTAATAACATGGATGGGCCTTGAGGGAATTATGCTACATGAAATTAGATAAAAAAGGATAAATACCATAGGATCTGACTTAGTGTGTAATCTTAGAAACAAAACAATAATCACTCCCCCAACACCCCTTCTTCCCCCTCAAAAAAACCCACAAGTTCATAGATACAAAGAACAGATTGGCAGTTGCGAGAGGCAAAGGGTAGAGAAATTAGATGGTGTTGGTCAAAAGGTACAACCTTCCAGATATAACATACATAAATCATGGGGATATAATGTATAGTGTAGTGTATAGTTAATAACACTGTATTGCATATTTGAAAATTGCTAAGAAAGTATATATTGACAGTTCTCATCCCCCAAAAAATGTTGTAACTGTGTGTGAGGGATGTTAATAAGACTTATAGTGATCATTTCACAATAGGTACACGTATGGAATTATCATGTGATACACCTGAAATACAGAATCTATGTCAATCAACCCTCCATTTGAAAAAGTTGTGATGAGGTTACAGTCGCAGCATCCCTGTGAAAGGCTGTGTCCTCAATGCCAGGCCCTTCCTTGGCGCAGTTGCTTGTCCCAGGACTGAGCTGATGGCATTGTCCCAGTTGTCCTTGCTGCTGCTCTGGGTGGTCGGGTTATTGTGCACAAGGAAGCTGAGAGCAGAGCGGCCAAGGCCCATTGTGTCTGAAGGAAATTTACACAATGCAGGTGGGCCAGGGTGACCGGCACAGTTGGTGACACTTCTCTTAAGTGCTGGTCACTGTGGAGATGTGCTGGCGAGACAGATCCTTCAGCAGCAGCCAGGGGATTTCTGAGCAAAGTCTATTTTTGTCCCTTGGTTTGTTTGTTCAACCCCCCCCACACCCCGTTCCTCCCTGTTCCCGTCTCCTTTTTAGTAGAAAGCCTCCGGGAGGCAGATCCCAACAACCCTAGCAGCCCTTTTGGGTGAAGCTGGGGAGTGATGTAACCTTCCAAAGATAGTCATGTTGTCAAGGTGCTGACAAACCTGCAGTGCTGGGAGGGAGGGAGATCAAAGGGGCCCGGGCAGAGGTCACCGAGGTCACAGGGCAGCTGGAGAGGTCAGCATAGTTGTGAAGAGGGAGGACTGGGCAGGCGAGGAGCCAGCCCCTCTTGGGTTCAGAGCACACCCAGGCACCAGCTGAGTGACTCAGAGCTGAGCCCGAGGCTCAGAGACGCTGCTCTGGGAGCTTCAGGAAGGTGGCCGCGTTTCCTGGGGTTGGTGGCCTCCAGGGTCTCATCCACGTGGAACAAAGTGCAGCTTGGGAGATGCCAGCTGGACCAGCGGAGTTCTTAAGAGTCTGTCTGTTGAGCCACGCTCACCACAGGCAGGAGCTGGTTTGTGTCTGGCATCTGCAAGCTATTTTTGGTCTTTTTGAAAGGATTGGGCTGCATAGGCTAACCAGAATGCCATAGCCATCCAAAACGTTGCCGATTGAATGGAAACAACGCCAGTGTCTCTGCCAGGCCCCTGCCTTGGGCTTTATTGGACTAACTTGGGCAGTAACTTTGGGTATAACACAGGCCCTTGCACACCAGTCAGAAATTGCCATCAGCACAAAGACCAACAGCCAACCCTTCAAGGAACACTGGCCTCGCCCCAGGAGTGGGCTAGTCGCCCTAGATGGATGAACTCTTTTAGTGCTCAGAACAACCATCTGTGTCACGTCCTATTATCCCACTTTATGGACAAGGAAACTGAGGCTTTAGGAGGTTATTTGAGGTACCTGAGGTCACCCCACTTCTAAGTGGCAAAACCAGAACTCGGGTCCAGGCCGTTTGAGAAAGCCTGCGCCCGTTTGCGGACTCTGCTTTGTTAGTAAAATAAGGGAAACGCATGCTTTCTTACTTAATAAATGCAACTGGGCTGGTTAGCATCTTTGCAAACATGAACTCCACATTGAGGTCGGGTGGGGCGGAGGAGGTTGATAACAAAAGAAGCCTTTGTGTGGAGAAGCCTGGGAATTGTTAGGATAGGGCATGCCTGCTGGAATTAACCCTTCCCTGACCACCGGCTGATGCAGGCGAGGATTGGGAGATGCATGGTGCCTCATCACCTCGGCTGGTCATTTCATACCATTGGTGCTGGGATTGTGTTTTGCTGGAGAATTTGCCCCGGGAAGACTGGGGAGCAAAGGCTTCCATCACCTGTAGCTGTGGTGATCATCACAGGGAGGGGAGAGAACAAGTGAAGGAAAAACTAGCTGCACTGAGGCATTATTTGGTTGGTGCCAGGTCCCACGCCAGCCTCTCCTGATCTCCATAGCACAGGTCACGTTCACAGCCAGGAAGTGCTCGATGAGACTTAGACCCATTGCGATCAGCACCAGGCTTTTAGCCCCTTCCGTGTTCTCAGTGTGTGGAGGTGGGAGTGGTGGCTTTGAGAGGCTCCCATTCCTGCTGACTTCAGGGGCCTTTTTTTTTTTTTTCTTTTCCAGCTGGAAGCTGAAGCTGTGTTCCGTGCCATCACTATCGCCAGCCAAACCAACTGCCCTCTCTATGTCACCAAGGTCATGAGCAAGAGTGCAGCTGAGCTCATCTCACAGGCCAGGAAAAAAGGTGACTCGTGCTCCCAGAGGTCTCCAGCTCTGACGCTCCCGTCTCCTTTCCTCCCGGGGTGGCCTGTGCAGATGGGGCCTGTTCTGCTCCTTGCCTCGCTCTCTGGGAAGCCCCTCATCCATGGCAGTGCATTTATCTTCTCTGCATGCCCGTGGGTACCAGGATCCCAGGATTAACCCCACCGGGCAGAGGAGTAAACTGAGGCTCAGGAAGGGTTAGTGGTTTTCCCCAGATGACATAGCTTGAATCAGTTCTTTTGAGACTTGATCATTTTCCTACCTTTTATCTTTTACTGTCAGTTCACATTACCTGAGCTTTATAAATGGACTTTGAATCAGGATTATATTGGGTGCGGAAGTCAAAGACCTGGCTCAAACTGACTTACAGGAACAAAAGTAAATTATTGGTTGTTTCAGGTGTGGCCACAGCAAGGAGGTTAAACAATGGGATCAGGGTTCTTCACTTTCCTATCTTGGGTCTGGTGGCCTTATTTTCAGTATGAATAGTGACAAGAATAAATGCCTGTTATCTTCCAACAGGTCAAGCACAAGTCCTCCGGACTGTGATGGCCTCACCCCTGATCCAGTATCTGCTCTGGATGGTGTAATTGATTGGCAGGGCCGAGGGCAGGGTCCTACCCCTGAGCCCCACAGGGCAACACAAGTTATTTTTTAAAAAATATATATTTTATTGATTTTGTACAGAGAGAAAGGGAGAGAGGTAGAGAGTTAGAAACATCAATGAGAGAGAGTCATCGATCAGTTGCCTCTTGCACATCCCCTACTGGGGATATGCCCGCAACCAAGGTACATGCCTCTGACCGGAATCGAACCCGGGACCCTTCAGTCCCCAAGCCGACGCTCTATCCATTGAGCCAAACCGGTCTCAGCACAAGTTATTTTTGAAAAGGGGTTGAATGGGTGGCATGACCTTAGTGACCGAGGCTCCGTCCCTACTGCCTTCGGCCACTCTCCTCCCTCGCTGTTAACTTGGGACATCATTCGCTCACCTTGTGCTAAGCTAAAGTTTCCTCTCATTTTAAAGCTTTCTTTTCTGCTTTGCATTCTTGTCCTTACTGGGAGACTAATGGGCTCACTTGTGAACAGCGGTTGAGGAACTGGAGGTGTGGGGCTCTGTGTTTGGTTGGGAGCGAGGACGTACCAGGCCCAGTGGTGTGATTGTGACCACGGTGAGCTGTGGCTGTTCTGGAAGTGGAGTGAGTCATCTACCAGACTCAGAACCGGTCTGTGAAGCTCCAGATGTGAGGGAGCGGGACGGCTGAAAATAGTCCAGCTGACTGATGGCTGTGCTCGGCTGCATGGCCTCTGGCAAAGGGAAGGGCATGGTCCTAATTGTCTAGACGGTCTTTCTAGCTGGCAGGTTCCGGGTACCTCCTGCCTTGCGCTGCTCTCAGTAAGCCTGCTGTTTCTTCTCTCAGCTTTTCAGTGTCTCCACATGACATAGTGTGGTTGCCCCACTGGGGATGAGTCATCGGGCGAGAACCATAAAAGCAGCCCCATTTTCCGTATCCATTCTTGGAGAAAGGCAAAAAAAAAAAAAAGAAAAAAAGAAAAAGAAAAAGAAAGAAAAGAGCACTGGGGGACCCCTCCCCTCTACACACACACACACACACACACACACACACACACACACACACACACCTCTTCCCATGACCCACTACCATAGCCATCCTTGTACCGGCACCTTCTGCCGATGGCTGTGTCCTGTCTGGGATCCATTCACAGGATGACCTGGAGGGCCCAGGACAATGTTTCATGATATACTGGGGTTTTTGTTTGTTTTGTTTTTAAATATATTTTATTGATTTTTGTACAGAGAAGAAGGGAGAGTGATAGTTAGAAACATCAATGAGAGAGAGTCATCGATCAGCTGCCTCTTGCACACCCCCTACTGGGGATATGCCCGCAACCAAGGTACATGCCCTTGACTGGAATCGAACCCGGGACCCTTCAGTCCCCAAGCCTACGCTTTATCCATTGAGCCAAACCGGTTCCGGCTGGGTTTTGTTTTAAACCTCATGTGGAAAAATTCCTCACCCTTGACCTTTTGGTTCATGATTCGCCGACAAAACAAGGACGTTGTGTCTCTAGGGTAGAAGGGTTACATTATTCCAGTGACAAAAACTGGCTGCTGAGATTGAAGCCAATAAGCCTGGCATGAGCTGTCATTCCCTGGGAGAAAGTCAAGGGCTTTTGGACAGGAAGACAGGGTAGCAGTGTCCCCTCCTCCTGCTGAGCAGGTTACTCTCTAAGTCCCATGTGTTCCATCGCCAAGTGCTCTTTAGCAGCTCAGCATTGTTGCTCAGAATTAATATCAGGGATCTACAGTTTATGAAGACCAACTGAGATAAATACTAATACAGACATACCCCCGAGATGTTGCAGATTTGGTTCCCAACCACCTCAATAAAGCAAATGTCGCAATAAAACAGATTAAATATGAATTTTCGGTTTCTCAGTGTATATATAAAAGTTATATTTACACTAGCCTATTGAGTGTGCAATAGTATTATATCTAAAAAGCAATGTACATGCACTAATTTAAAATACTTTATTGCTAAAAATTGCTAACCATCCTCTGAGACATCAAGTCATAATCGTTTTGCTGGTGGAGGCTTTTGCCTTCAATTTGTCAAAAAACACAGTATTTGCAAAGTGCAGTAAAATGAGGCATGCTTGCACTTTAAATTAATTATGATGTAAAATTCTCAAAGAACCCTGAGAAATAGGCATTTCTACTCCCAGTTTCAGAAAAGGAAATTGCAGCTCACCTTGTCCAGCTCTCTCCCAGTTTGGAGAGCTAGTATCCAAACCCAGGTATAATGCCAGTCTTTGCTTATCCTACTCTTCCGTCTATAAATAGTCCAAAGGGAGGGTCCTTCCACTTTTAAAGTTGTCATTTCTCTTTATGGTACTTGAGTGCTTGTATTGGCTTTCATTTCTTAGTTTCTTTGTGGCCCTGTGTGCTTCAGTTTGGTAAATATTTTTGGAAAGCCCTTGAAATTCTGATTAGTCATGTGCGGATCCTTTTTTACCGTCATCCCAAAGAGCTGGGATGTCAGATACAGGGGTTGGCAAAAGTAAATTTACAGTTTCTCCTGTGGACAAGACATGCAGCTTATGATTACCACAGTAGCTTTATTAACATAAAAGCATATTACTCATGACTATAAACTTACTTTTGCCTACTCCTGTATGAATCGTTGCCATTGTTTCCTTCTTTTGCCCAGGGCAGACATCACTAATCGATCCTGAGTCTTTTCTGGTGAAGCCAGAAGCATTATTAGAATTCTTCCTTATGCAGAATTTCAGTCAAACAAAATCAACTGATAACAGTTGGAGCAAGGCAAACACTAATTTATAATCCTGGCCATTAGAGCCTTGCTGAACTTCAACCTTGTGGGGAACCGGATGTAGATGATGAAGATGAAGAACCAAAGCTGAAGAAGTCCAGGGCAATGCAGGCCATCTCTAGCCCAGGATCCTGGCTCAGAGAATCTTGGTACCAATCCACCTTCTGTATTTGCCTTCTGCATTTGCCTTCTGTATCATCATCCCTTCTTTAAGAAGTCAGACAGGCGCTTAGATCAGTGTATTTCCCAATATCCTTCTTCTCCTTGATTTGTAGTTAAGTCCCTAATTCCAGACATAGGGACCAAGAAGCGAGCCTCATCTTTGATGTACCCCACATTATTGGGGGGTCCTTGAGCAAATCATTCCTTGCCTTGGGTTAGGGAGTAGTAGACATGATGGGAAAGATCATGAGAGCCTCTAATCTATGGGGTGCATTTTACTTTGTAGAACCAATACATGTCCTTGGAACAGCAGGATCTAGCCGTTCTCAGTGATGTGGGTACATTTGGGGCTTTGGAGCCCTACAGTGGGAAGGAGGAAGAGGTATAAAGAAATGAGATTTAGCCAAAACCGGTTTGGCTCAGTGGTAGAGCGTCGGTCTGTGGACTGAAAGGTCCCAGGTTCGATTCCGGTCAAGGGCATGTACCTTGGTTGCGGGCACATCCCCTGTAGGGGGTGTGCAAGAGGCAGCTGGTCGATGTTTCTCTCTCATCGATGTTTCTAGCTCTCTATCTCTCTCCCTTCCTCTCTGTAAGAAAATCAATAAAATATATTAAAAAAAAGAAAAAGAAAAAAGAAATTAGATCTATTGGGCATATCCTTTGTGGCAGACATTTTGTTCATGCCAAATCCTTTTATTTTCACAAGCCTGGGAAATAGACATTATTTAGTTTCATCAATTGCAGGATGGGCCTATTCTACATTTTAATACACACACACACACACACACACACACACGCACGCACGCACGCGTGTGTGTGTGTGTGTGTGTGTGTGTGTGTGTGTGTGTATTATTGATTTCAGAGAGGAAGGGAGATAGAAACATCAATGATGAGAGAGAATCATTGATTGGATGCCTCTTGCATGTCCCACTCTGGGGATTGAGGCCCCAACCTTGGCATGTGTCCTAACTGGGAGTCAAACCATGGCCTCCTGGTTCATAGGTTGATTCTCAACCACTGAATCACACCGGCCAGGTCACATTTTAATATTTCTGAAATAAGGGTGAATCTTATAATCAATTATATTTTTTTTCTTTTGCTTTCCATTTTAATTTGCCTCAAAATTTTGAGAATTAATACTATATCTTGCAAGCAGTGGCTTCTTGTAATCTAAGGAATGCTTCCCCCTCACCCCTTCTCACTTAGCTAGAAAAGCAGAGGCTTAGAAAAGCTGGGTATATGGACTTGAACCTGGACCTGTCTGATTCCAGAGCCACAGCCTTGAGAAAGCAAAGAAGTTATGATTATCTAAGACGTGCCCAGATAGCAGTACCTTATGCAAACCCTTTGCCTACCCCTCGTAGGAAACGTGGTGTTTGGAGAGCCCATCACTGCCAGCCTTGGTACAGATGGAACCCATTACTGGAGCAAGAACTGGGCCAAGGCAGCTGCGTTTGTGACATCCCCACCTCTGAGTCCTGACCCGACCACTCCTGACTACATCAACTCCTTGCTGGCCAGGTTGGTGCAGAATGGCAAGCAGCTGGCGTTGCATGGAAACATCCTTGGGCAGGTGGGATGAGGCCTAGGCCAGCCCATCCAGCAGCTGGACTTGGGTCTGCAGAGAGGAAAGACATTGAGAATTCCCCTGCAATCTGGAGGGCAGACAATAGGCTCGTTCCCATTGCACTTGTAAAAATACTACAGTAATTACCCACTTCTAATGGTGACAGCAGTTCATGTGTTTTGTGTGCCAGGCTCTAGGGTGAGACCACACACATGATCTCATTGTCCCTTATAACTTGATGAGTGAGGGACTTTCATAACCATTTTACAGATTAACCAGCTGAGGGTCAGAGGGGCTAAATTATTTGCCGAAATTTGAACAGCTGGTCATGATGACCACCTAGCCCCAAATTATAGGGGACTTGTTTGCTGCTTCTCCCTGCAGATCAGGCCCTTCCCTCATTTGGGTCCCCTCTGTTTTGTTACACAAGAGATGATCTAATCCCACCCCCTCATACATGGGGTAACCAAGTCCCAGGATGGGGAAACATTCACTGAAGTTCACATAGTTGGCAAGAGGTAGAGGGAGGGTTTCAAATTCAGGTCATGGCACACCAAATGCTGACCCTAGACACTTGAGTCTGGGCCACCTGTTCCATTCACACGGAGCTTTCCTCCTCTGCCAGCGGGGACCTGCAGCTCTCTGGCAGTGCCCACTGCACCTTCAGCACCGCCCAGAAAGCGATCGGGAAGGACAACTTCACGGCCATTCCCGAAGGCACCAATGGGGTGGAGGAGCGGATGTCTGTCATCTGGGACAAGGCTGTGGTAAGGATCCGGTCATGGGAGGGTGGCCAGGCCATGCGTCCGTGTCTTCTGGCAAAAGGGCCTGGTTTTATTTGCCTTGTGAACATTATCTATGCTGCCAAAAGAATAGCCATGCAAATGAAAGTGCTCTCAAAGATTTCGCTAAAATTAGTGATGAATATTTTACATTAGTCATGTCCCTCTGTTTTGTTTTAAAAACTCTAGAGACACTCATTTCAGAGCCCAATAGGGTGTGTATGATCTGATGCCTCATATTTCTATACGATGTAATCCACCAAGTTTCCCTTGTCTTTTGGCTACCAGGAAGCTAGATTTTAAGCTAAATTCTTTTTTTCATACCTGGGCCTTTTGTTTTGAGAAAAGAGAAAGGATAAATAGTTTTGTCTCTTCTCTTACATACTTAGATTTTTTTTTTTACATTGTTATGTATTTGTGAGTGTATGTATGTATTTATCTTGGCACTATCTAGAATTGTTAAAATTTTAATTGTTTAAAAATTGTTTAAAAATTACCAACATAGTACCTTCTTGATAAAGAATACTTGGAAACCACTGGGGGGGGGGGGGGGGAATCACATTCATGAAAGAAAACAAAAATTACTCATAAATTCCACCCCTCAGGGATAACCACTGCTATCATTTGGGTGAGGTTCTTCCATAGTTACCCTATGTGTGTACAAATACAAACACATATTTAAAAAAATGGGCTCATCATCACTTTGTTTTTAGTGTGAACTCTCTACAACCTATTGGAATTAAAAGGGGTAAAAGTAAGTAAATGTACACACATAACCAGAGAAAAGAAGGGCATGCTCCGGGAGCAGTAACTTCCCTCTTGAGCCTTTTGCTTAATTGCTTTGTCTGGCTACCCTGACAGCCCAGCCGGTTCTGGAAGCTTGCTGGGTGTGGTTCTGAGCTCACAACGTTAAAGGCTCCTGTTTGTATTTTGGGGCCTTTGTGGTCACCCTGCTCTGAGCTTAGAAGCCCTGCATTGACAATAATATATATATATATATATATATATATATATATATATATATATATATATATTATTGTCAATGCAGGGCTTGACAATAATATATTATATATTAATAAAATATTATTAATATATATATTAATATATATATTAATAATATTTATATTTATATTTATATTTATATTTATATTTATATTTATTTCCATAGGCCACAGGGAAAATGGATGAAAACCAATTTGTGGCTGTGACGAGCACAAATGCTGCAAAGATCTTCAACCTGTACCCCCGCAAGGGAAGAATATCTGTGGGTTCCGACAGCGACTTGGTGATCTGGGATCCAGATGCTGTAAAGATCGTCTCTGCCAAGAACCACCAGTCGGTGAGGCTGGAGCTGGCAGGCATGGGTCGGGGCGGGGAATGCGTGCAGGGAATTGGTCGGGAGAGATGTGTGCCTGTGGTGTGCCAGGGTAGTTAGGCCAGGATGTGTTCCAATAACAAACCATCCCGAGTCCTCAGTGACTTCCAACCTCAACAGTTTAGTTCCCACTCCCGCCTTCCAACATGAGTCAGCAGAAGGGCTCTGCCTACCATAGTCACTGGGGGATGGAGGCCCATAGAGATGTCATCTCCACATGTGTCTCCGAAAGCTTTCCCACACATATCACTCCCAGTATGTCACTTCCTGTTATGCTGCATTGGGCAAAGCCAGTCCTGAAGCCACAGTTTCCTCCAGGAGGGCAGGAAATGCAGTGGTGCCTTGTGCCTAGAAGGAAAAAGAATGGGGGTGGTGTGCGTGCGTGCGTGCGTGCGTGCGTGCGTGGGTGTGTGTGTGTGTGTGTCACCAGCATTGATGACATCATCAGGAGGAGTTTTCAGGTGAAAGGTAATTCCCAGTACCTTGAGGACAGCGGCTTCATACTTGTTAATAAAGTAAAAATAGCTCATAGTTCTTCAGCGCCTATGTTTCAGGCACTGTGCTTGTCATCTATTCAATCTCCCCAGCAGTCTTCCATGGTCAGGCACTATCATTATCCTCATTTTGTAGATAAGGAAATGGAGGTGCTGAGGGATTAAATATAATTTAGGCCCCAAGAAAATGAAGCTAGGATTCAAACCCATACAGTCTGGCTCTGAATGGATGCCCTTAACCACTGTGCAGTGATGCCTTGCACTAGTTGAATAAATGAAGGAGGTAGGGAGAAATTCTATTGGTTGGTGGGAATGGCCTTTGTCAGACATTGTGTCCTATCACATTTCATTTCAAGCTAGCAGGGGCCTAAGGGTCATGTGATCCACCTACCTACCCACCAATTCAAGGCCATCAAGTAGAATTTCCCTGATACTTATCCAGCTTCTCCGTGGACACTGACAGTGACAAAATTTACTTCCTCCATGGGGACCTTAATAAAGACTGGGTGCTTCTCTTTGCTAGGAATTCCAGCTTATACTTGGGGAGCTTCTATCTCCTCTACCCACTGAGCCCTTGTGGATGCGTTGTAGGCTTTTCCTGGCTTACCTGGCCAGTCCTAGCCCCCCCGAAGGCAGGGTCAAAAGCACATGAAGACCACATTGCCTTTCTCTCCCTCCCATGCCCATACCCATGACCGTGCCCCTGCGCTGCTCCCAGGCTGCAGAGTACAACATCTTTGAAGGCATGGAGCTGCGTGGGGCTCCCCTGGTGGTCATCTGCCAGGGCAAGATCATGCTGGAGGACGGCAGCCTGCACGTGACCCAGGGGGCCGGCCGCTTCACCCCATGCAGCCCCTTCTCAGACTACGTGTACAAGCGCATCAAAGCCCGGAGGAAGGTGAGGAGGCTGGGAGCCTGGTGAGGTGGAAGGGGCTGAGTCCTGTCCAGGCACCACGGGGACAGTAACCCTGGATCGAGAGGGGACGCTGCACTCAGACCCCACCAAAGAGTTGCACAGTGTCCGTCTCTTCCGGGGACATGCGCTCCGATTTAGTGCACACAGAAAGGGGTCTTCAAACCCCTTTCTTTTGGTCAAAGAAAGGTTTTTTCAAATGATTTCCCCCCATTTCATGTGCTTTAAAAAAAAATAATTTACGATTGTTAAAATTCTAAATTATATGTATTTAATAATTTAACTCTCTAAGGCTTACAACAAGAACCAGGAATCCACACCTATTCCTGTCCCATTCTGTCCAGGGCTGGTCCATGGGGGCACATGTTTATAATTCTTCTAGCTGGTTCTATGCATCAAATAAAATCTTATATTTCTGATTTAATAGCTAGCTAGCTAGACAGACAGACACATACACACATATATCTATCCATCTACCTACCTACCTACACATTACAAGCAGAGCATCCCTGGTGGATTTAGGGGTAAGGCCCATAACTCTGTCTTTTCAGCTCCCCATCCTACCCCCTAGAGTCTCAAGTCACTCTTAGGTAAGTGAGGGCTCCACGTGGCAGGGTTAGACCAGCCCTGGGATCCTGGAGTTTGACCAGCCCTGGGAGCCTTCCCACCTGCTCTGCTATGGCTGAACAGGTGGTTCTTCCATTTCATGTTTCCGCCATCGGTTTCCTCTGCTGGGAACACTACCCTCCACCCCACACCTCTGTACCCCCAGCCTCCTCCCTCCCTTAACCAGAGTTCATACAAGCTTCTTGGATCCTTAAGATCAAAGGTCACTCTTAGAGAACCTTTCACCTACCTCTTTCATCAGCATTCTATCATACACCTCCCTTAATTTTATACTCCTCCTCTCCTTCAAATAACATTTTTCTCTTGGTTCCCACTGCACACACTTAATGCCCTGATATGTTTGTGCCACCTAGAACAGACCCTTAGCTGTTAAAGGAACAGATGGTGACGTGCTTTCTCTGCTGCAGATGGCAGACCTGCACGCCGTCCCGAGGGGCATGTATGACGGCCCAGTGTTTGACCTGACCACCACGCCCAAGGGGGGCACCCCCGCAGGCTCCACCCGGGGCTCCCCCACTCGGCCGACCCCGCCCGTGAGGAACCTCCACCAGTCAGGATTTAGCCTGTCGGGTGAGTTGGAAAAGCTGATGGTGATCATTAGTGAGAGAGGGAGGAGAGAAGGGGGGAGGGGACTCAAAGCTAACGGTGGTCCTTAGAGCGAACCTAGACCACCTTCTAGGGGACAGGTTGCTGGGCAAGAAGGATGGTTTGTGCTGAATCAATAAATAAATCCTGCTAAGAAAGCAAGATGAGACTCAGTCAGGCTCAAGGTCAGGCTTAAATGATACCAGTTCTGCTCTGAGCTCACACCTGGTGGGGGAGGAAGGGTGTGAATTTATAGTGATTTTCTACGTTAGACTGTGAGAGCAGTGCAATGTGCCCAGGTGAAAAGAGAGCTCAGATCCTTTTTATGCTCAAATTGCAATAGCTTCTTCCGACCCAGGATTTTAATTCCTCCTTTCCTCGTACTAGTAATCAAGCTAGCAGCAGCCGCTGCTGATTGGACACTTACCCTGGGGGCAGCCATCTCAGAAATCTTACCTGTTCTTTAAGAACTGCCTTGTATAAATACAAAATAATGATTCAATTCCTCCACAACCAGTCCTCTTAAATTGCGAAAAAATAAATGTAGGTTAGCATCTTTATGACAAACAATTTAAATGTGAGGAAAGCAGGATAACAAGAAGGGGCAGAAGCCCTAACCAGTTTGGCTCAATGGATAGAGTGTTGGCTTGTGGACTCAAGGGTCCCAGATTTGATTCCGGTCAAGGGAATGTACCTTGGTTGTGGGCACATCCCCAGTAGGAGTTGTGCAGGAGGCAGCTGGTCGATGTTTCTAACTTTATATCCCTCTCCCCTCTTCTCTGTAAAAAATCAATAAAGTAATATTATTATTTTTTTAAAATAAAGGACAGAGATGTGTAAAGAGAAAACTGTGATGGCAGGAGGGGGGGTAAGCAGGGGAGCAGCAGGCTATGGGGAGGAAAGAATGAGGGGGACATAGGTCATGGAAGAAGACAAAGGAAAGGGCTGAAAGCTCTCAGGTGACATGGCAAGAGGTCACAACATGCTCTTTGCTGAGATCTTAGCCCGTGTTTCTGCCCCTTCCTGTTGCTCCCTGGCTCCCCTCAGCCCTAAGCTTCCCCGGCTCCTTCTGAATGGACAGAGAGACTCACTGGTGTTTCCTGTGATAATAGTCCATTTCTGGAAAGATAATGAGGAGAGTTGAGTAAAACAGAAACATTTAAAACGTTGCTTGTCACGTGAATGGAGCAGCTATTTCTCATAACACCCCATCGTTGTCTTTATTACCATTGTTATGATGGGGGGGTGGGAGGGTTGGATGAAATCCAGATGTAAACCAGCAGTGCCCAAACGAAAATGGAAGATTCCTGGGTAAAGAGGCCAGAAGGCACCCAATAGCTTAGACTCTTAACATTAATCCCATTTCTCTTTTGTCCACACCCTCCCCCCTCCCGATTTCTCTCCCTGGGAATGTGTTGCCCATGCAGGCACCCAAGTGGATGAAGGGGTCCGCTCGGCCAGCAAGCGCATCGTGGCGCCCCCTGGAGGCCGTTCCAACATCACCTCCCTGAGTTAAGCAACCCCTCCCCAGAGAGAGGGGCAGAAGCAAGAAGAGATTGATTTGAAGCCAACGTGGTACACCTGATATTTAAGAAGGAGAGCGAATCCAAACCGTTACGACCTAAAGAATCAATAAGCCTCAAGCCTTATGTTTCTCCAATGTTACGCTCGCTTGCCTAGCTTTACAAATATTGCTTTGTTTATGCCTAGCCTTGATTTGGTTGACCCTTCTCCCCCATTTACATGCATGCAATCAGACAGGCCACTAAGGTAAGGGGTCTGCTATCTAGTGTTGAGAGCGTGTGTAGTGCTGCATCTTAAGACAAGGGGACAGACAAAGCTGGATGTCTGGAGACTGAACAGGAGGGACACAGTTATTTGGGGTGAGTGGGTGGTGGGGGCCCGAGCAAAGCGGGGAGCTCTGAGGGCTGAGGGAGGGGGAACACAGGGAGGGGGGTGGGTGGGTGAATATAGGGGTCTTGTGTATTGTGTTAACGAAGTACATTTATTTCCTTGGAGGGTAGCCCCTGAGGGCCCGGGGGCAGTGGGAAAGGCAGGTGGGGTCTTCAGGTTGCAGATTTTGTCACGTCCTCTCTTAGTAGATTTCATGTGTTTGAGCATTTTATTAAAACACCAAAACCCAGCCATGGCTTCCCCTTGGTCATGCCAGTGCTTGGCCGGGCCTCTTTCTCAGAGCTGTTTTCCAATGCTTCTCTTTTCCTGGCCGGGAAGGAGAGGTGGAGGGAGGAGAGAACCTTCTCGAGTCTTGCCCTTCCGGCCTCTTTGGTGCTGTTAAGAGGCAGCAGCTGGGAGCACGCACGAGCCCTGGGGCGGGGCAGCCTCGCTTACACAGCTCCTCTCTGTGAACGGGAGTTGGAGGTCACCTTCACGCAGGTCTTTTCAAACTGAGGAGAGCAGCCTGCCCCTGGCGTCTTGTGCGAAGGGCTGGTCCTGCCAGGGGTGAGTGTTTGATTCTCCTGGTCTCCCGGGACCCTGGCACAGCCAAGGGTGAATCGGGTTGCTGCTGTCGGTGACAGTTGATTTTCTTAGGTGTTCCTTAACTCCATCGAGCTTGTGTGGGAGGCAGGCGGGGCTTTGGGAAACTAGCTAGAGACACAAGAGCGTGTTGTGTGGCCATGGTTCTGGGGCTCAGTCCTAGGCTGTCTGTCTCCCCTGCCATCAGCACAGCCTTGAGGGGAGCTCTGGTTTGGTACCACATCTCCCCAGTGGGTGGCAGTGGCATGTGGCCCATGAGTAAAGGAAGCTAGCAGGGAGCCTTGACACCTTCCTTGTCTGCCAGAGCTGAATGTCCTCCCCCATCCCAACTCAACTTCAGAACAAGTTCTCTGAACCGGACGAGATTGTAGGACTAAGGGGCCCCTGGGCAGGAAAAAAAAAATGTATTTCACCTGCGATCTGACTTCTGTGCTGGGATCCAGCTGGTAGAACTCGTAACCCTGTGTGCTAGGACCTTTGAAGAGAGGCCTCAAACACCTCCCAGGTGTTGGGGAGAAACCTAACTCCGGTTTTAAGTAGAAGAGAATGCGTGGCTGGAGAGGCGGGTGGAAATAAATAGCCAAGGAAGATTCTCCTTAACTAAGCTCATTTCTCTTAGTTATAAAAAAAAGAGGATTTCCTCTTAAAAGAAGGAACCTTGCCATCTTTAAGGCTTTTTCATGGTGCCTTTATTTTAAGGAAGTGTAAGTGAAGGAGAAGGTATAGCTCGTGGTTTATAACTCAAAGATGTGGTTTGTAACTCAAAGTTTCAAACTGGGAGGGGCAGTTGTGCAGACAGGCAGCTAGCTTGTTATATCAGAAGCATGTCTATATACCTCATTGGCTGGGCTGGGACTTAGGATAAGTTGCAGTACCAGCCACAGTCACCAGATGGAGGAAAAGACACATAAATAACTAGTAGGATCATGCACTTCTGTACCATCAACTGCTGTTACCAGCCTGAGTCCAGTCATCCTTCCTGACCTCTCTTGGCCATGCAAATCAATATTCCATGGCCCCTTTGGCTGCACTTGGGACTTCTGAATGAAACATTCAACCAGGACTTACGTTCTCCGCGAGCTTTCCCTGCTGGGGGAGCAGCCCCTTCATGCCTCCATGCTGGGCAACACGATCTTAGAAAAGTCCACCTTTCTTCATGCCTATTAGTAACTTCCCAAGCATAGAAATTCCTGGGAATTCCAAGAACACTCCACTGTTGGCTTTGATTTCTGGTTCCTTGTTACTTAAGTTAAATTTTTTATTCCAATCTGCCCGTTCCATAAGATACATCAAAGAGCCCCATACACGCGGGTTTAGGAAGAGATCACCGCAGTGAGTCAGGCCCTCTCAGAATTCACTGGGAGGGCTGCTTGCTGGGTCTTCTGTCTTCCTCCCAGGCTTTCTTTTGCTGTCTCCTGTCTTGGCCTGGCCCCCCTGTAAGAATACCCTATGTGCTCCCCTTCCCCCAACCTCCCCAAGTTGTCCCTAAACCCAGATGGCAATCAGCTGGGGTTCTGTATGGGAGAGCTATGATCTTGGGTACTTGAAAGGTATTTGAGGAACTGTTAATTCAGTCACCCCAGCAGAGATACTTCTATTTCCACGTTTTCTGAAATTGGCGGGGTTGTAGCCATCTCGAAAATGGGTTTTCTTCAAAGTCCTGTCATCCTTGGGCCTTTGTCTTTGTAACGACACCCAGAGAGTCACTGTCTGCTCTGAAGGTCTCCATCCTAAGCCTGGCCTTTCACTCACCCTGAGGAGCCCTTACCGACAGGGTGACGAGTTATACAAGCACCCCAGACCTTCTCTCCCGGAAAAGTCTAGCTGGAGCCCCAGACGTACAGCTGGGCTGTCCCGGCAGCCGGCATCCATGGTCGGTCCCCTCTTTGGAAAGTGGTGTGCGGGTGTTCAGTTCTGTGTCTGGTGACTGTGGATGGACAGTGACCTCCCTGTGATCTGTGGTAGCTGTGAGGTGGCTCTGGAATATGAAGAGCTGTTTGGTTTGAACCGTGAAGAAAACTGTGTTTTGAGTTTAGCTGATATTAAGGGGGGGAAAAAAGTTCATCAAGTGACTGTTCATGTAAACCTGGTTATTAAAATAACTATAAAATCATAGATGTTGTTCTGTCTTTTCTGTGTGTGACATGACATTGACCCAAATTATTAAAATCAGCAAAACTGAAATGGTTGGTAAGGGGGCAGATCTTATAAAAACAGAGTTATCTAGAGAAAACATTGGGAGGTTCTCTTTCAGTTGAGGTTGAGCTTTTATTTGGCTAAAGAGTTTGATGATGATTGTTAAAACTTGGGGGAATTACTAAGTTTATTTTATATACTATCTAATAAAGAGGGAATATACTAATTGATCCTCACACTGTTGCAAAGATGGCTGCACTGACAGCCAATAAGGAGGGAATATGCTAATTGACTGCCCGGCCCTCAAAGATGGCAGTGCCCACAGCCAACAAAAAAAGAATATGCTAATTGACTGCCCAGCCTTCAAAGACAGTGGTGCCCACACTCAATAAGGAGGGAATATGCTAATTGAGTGCCACAGCCTCGAAGAGGGTGGCACCCAGTTCCCTCAGCCAGAGTGCCTTCCTTAGTTCCCTCAGCCTCCTCAGCCCCCTCAGCCCCCCAGCCGCCCAGGGTTGCCTGAGGCTCAGGTAACCAGGGCCGGCTGAGGCTTGCACTGTTGGCAGTGACAACAGCAGAGGTGTGATGGGGCATCGCCTTCCCCTGATCACTGGGTTGCCTCCTGCTCCTGAAGGCTCCCAGACTGTGAAAGGGGGCAGGCTGGGCAGAGGAATCCCCCATCCAGTGCATGAATTTTCATGAACTGGGCCTTGTGTGTGTGTGTGTGTGTGTCTATATATATATATATATATATATATATATATATATATATATATATATATAATCAAATTTGGTATTAGTGTAAATGCCTTTTTTTAAATTTCTTTGTTCTTTGTTGTGTCATTCCCTTAAAGCATTGCTTTGTAAAAGCCTGCAATTAGAGAAAACACAAACTAAGCATGTTGAAAGTATATTCTTTAGCAAGTTGGTCCCAAAGAATCTCATGAGTGTTAGAAAATATTATTAACTACGTCCACTCCTTTGAGAGACTTATGTGTATGTCATCAAATTCAAAGCTCTTAGAAATCCTGTCTTTCAAAATCTGTCCAATTCAAGGCTCTCAAACTATTTTCTATCTACTTAACATCTAACATTCCTTTTGGGGAAATACTTCTGGACCTAATTACAATTTACATAGGACATTTTTCATTGCAAATGTTAGGCTAGTGTATGCAGAATTTTTTTTTTTTGAAAAGTTTATAACTGAAAACATCAGGGATAGATTTGGATAGACTTAAGCAAAACTGGATCTAGAATGTTGTTTCTTTCTTTTTTTTTTTTTTTTAGCATATGGACTGCTTCATTGATTTGCATGTCATTCTTACAGGAAGGCCATACTAATCTCTGCGTGGTTCCAATTTTAATATATGTGCTGCCCAAGCAAGCACAAGTATTTTGTTTGTTTTGTTTTTGACTCTTTGTCCTGCTTGCCTTCTTAGGAAAGCAAATGGGAGCAAATCTGGCCATCAGCATTTCTAGGTTTTCATTTTATCTGACTAGTAATTTCAGAGGAAGGATAGAGATTCCCTGGATAGCTTCAGCCAAAGAGTCTGACTGTAATTGGTCTGGCTCAAGTCATGTGTTTTCACCAGGAAACTAGTCACTGTGGCCGGGAGACTGACACTGATGGGTCACACCTGGTCATATGGCCAGTCCTGAGCCACCAGAACCAGTGGACTCTTACTCAAGGAATATTAATTTGTGATATCAGAAGATGAGAGGATGGCTGCTGAGCAGGCAAAAGCAGCAGATGGTCCATCACTAGTCTAAAGCCTGAAGGGCATGGATGCTCTGCTCAGCAAAGTATTGTGACCAGGATGGGACTGGAGGAGCCGGGGGGGGGGGGGGGGGAGCGGAGGGGAGGAGATCTGGGTGCTAATTTCT